TTACATTTAAATGTAATAATGAATGAATACAAAAATATGAAAAAAAATTAAATTAAAATGTTTAAAAGTGAAATTAGACAACCATTGCCAACACTAGTCTTTCTTCCCAGAACATAAATGATGTGATATGACCATTATTTGTAGCTTTATACAGAAAATCACAAATAGATTAAGTGACCCAGCTATAAATCATATGGAAAAAATGGTTTCAGTGAGAAGAAAAAACACAAAAAACTCTTCAATCTTCCCATGCTGGATGACTCAATATGACAATGGAAGTTATCTTTTATTTCCCAGATGGAAGGAAGAAAAACTTCCACCCACTGGTTGTTCTGTAAAGCTAGCAGCATCTGCTAAATAAAAAGATATAATTAACACTCAAAATGAAGTTGTTTTCTGGAATTAAAATAATTTCACTCAATAATGGGAAAGATAATACTGTAAATGAAACTTTGAAGACAAAAAACACAAAAGAAAAATGTTGGTATCTTCTTCGTAGTAACACTGTGTCAAACCTAATTAACACTGTCTTGAGACGATGTAATCAATGAGTCCTTAGATCTTCCTAGCTGAAAATTCTTCTCAGGAATATCTAGTTAGAAACTCACTTCTCAGAATAGCAACTCCATATTTGTAGATCATCTCCAGCCAGGCATGTAGGCCATCACCTGTCTCCATCATCTCTTTATAAGAAATTTCAGGCATGTTCCTCCATATTGAAACACGATCCCACACTTCCAGTGGAGGGAGTTTAACTTGATCCTTCTCATTATGGAAGGTTTCCATGGTAAAACATCTGCCGTATTTATACAGCCTACACAATACAATGGATGAAAAAGTTACACGGCCAGGAAGGCAGTACAGCATAGTTTCTCAGCCTACCTGGCACTAGCACTTGACCACATTTTAAATAAACTACAGATACAGCTTCTAAGGTTTAAAAACTAAAGCTAAGTATGTTTCTAGCTATTAAAATGCAAAAATTCAGCTTTATTTCCTAGATTTATCTAATAACTATTTCCTACTTGCAGTTAATTCTGTAATATTCAACTAATGATAACAATAAACAGTGAAAATGCTTCATATCATTTGATAAGGTAATCTACAGATATAATTACAATCTTGAAATAAATTTCAATAACAACCACAATAAAATTTCTGTTTATACTGTGTATGTAAGTCTTTTTTTTTAATGCTGAAAAATGAACCATAAACTCCAGAACAAGTTTATATTTATTTCACTCAGTGTTTTATTTCTACAACTTTTATAAACTTCTTTGAAATAAATGTAACCTTATTCTCGAGTTAATGATTGTTTTTCATGAAAAAAAAATATCGAAGTTACACCAACCAGCACTTCATAATATGAAGTTATTATTATTTTTAAAAAAATCAAGGCTTTTAATACTTAAGATAATGCTTTCTAAATGAGCAAAAATCAGTAGGTCAGAATAATCATTTCACAATTCAAGCACAAGGCCTAATTATATGCAAGCTGTGTGTTTTCAATTATCCATTATTGTGTCATACCACACTTTATGTTCAGAGTAAGAACTGCATTTTTAAAAACAAAACAAAACTGTATGCTCCAAGACTACATCTTCAGTTTGCTGTAATACATTATATCTAACACTAAATACAGGTCTTTACCCTTAATATAAATAGTGTTGAGCATAATGCAGTATCTATCCCTTCACAAATGATCTACTTCTAAGAAATTAACTTAAGGAGTCTTTCATACAACTTTTACATAATTTTGGTTTTAAAATTGTTATATTTTGCTGTTAATTAAATGAAAAAAAAATCACATTGTAAAAACCTTGCATTATCCAACGATACAAGACAAAAAAAAGCATTCAATAAAGAGAAAAACTTATGATAACTAAAATAAAAAAATGCAAGTAAACAAATTTTTCATGCATTTTGTTTTAACTCCATACATTCAAGGTACTAGTAACATTTCTTGAAAATAAAACTTACATTGGACATCACCTGTATTACATTTTTACTCATTCAATCATTTATGCCCACTAATTTCATTTAGTACTGTGATGAAGAATATGTGTCTTATTCCAAGACAAACTGATGAAGAATATGTGTCTTAATCCAAGACAACCTATTGAGTTTTTTTTTTATTTGTAAAAAATGTTTTTATTTTAATAATTCAAATCCAAATGTTAATTTATGGGTACATAACTGCTGAATTTAAAATTTTATATCTTATATGAAAAGTTATAAGATTGATAAAGAGAAATGTGATGATATCCCAAGGTTACAAGTAACTAAACAAAATGGAAGCAATTGATTTACTGGAATGGACAAAACAAATTCAGTATTCTTAAGGAGTTTTTCTGTATAAATGTACAGAAACTTAAGCAAGACCAGTCTTATTCCAGTATTTTCATGTCTGTAATTTTTCTGCCCGGTCTTAATTTTCTAAAAAGTGTCTTGCTTTCCTTATTGAATATTACAAAGGCCAAATTTTTGTATGTATTTACCCCCCCCCACCCCACACACACACACTTCAATATATATATATATTTGGACTTGTCAATAAAAACATGAACAAAATATATTTTATTTAATAATGCAAACACAAATAACTAAAGTTACAGATTTCCAAACTAAAGTGATCTTGAGAAAAATCCCCATCTCCCCCCCTTCTTCCATATATATTACCATTACACCTTATTTTTGTAAAATAAAATCAAGCATAAACGGTATAAAACTAAAAGTATTGCCTACATTATGTATTATTCTCATAAGAAAAACAAGAATAAAAGAAAATTGCAAACTTTTCATTTTAATTACAAATGCTGAAGTATTTTCAGTAACATTACCCCTCTAACTTTATTGAAAATCAAATTGTTCATTATAAATTAGAACAGAAAAAGGCATATTATAAAAACTACACTGCCACAGGTGTAAGCACTTACCAGTGAGACTCATATACACTAACATGTTCCTTCTGATTTTCCTTCCATGTTACCTCCAGTTGGCCATCTTCATTCACCTGGAAAGACTTGGGTGAGATGTTGACATCCAGTTCAGCAGTATCTACTAGCTTTTGCTTGCTATCAGGGTGGATGCAGGAAGAACAGTGGCAATTGTCTCTAAGCTAGAAATAAAAAAAGAGCTTTATTAGAATCAGAGTTACACTGAGTGTGAACATGTCTTTGTAATATATTTTGTTTTTAATTAAAGGAAGAATTAGAAAACTTAAACAAAAAAAATGTGTATTATTCAATAAAGTTCCTGGATAACATAACTTTTTTTTCACATAAACATGCTATCATGTTTGCTAACAAACCCTTGCCTGCATGCAGTATATTTTCAATAAACCTGAAAAATTCTCTAGAAGATCATGTTTCTTGAATTTGTCAAAAGTTCTAACATTTTGCAGAAATTTCGTTTTTCACTTCAGTCCTAAGTCTCAGTAAAGTCACTGCAATAAATTCAGAAAATTAAAGAACAACCTTCAGCCTTAACTACTACTACTGACTTTTTCCTTGTCAGTCAAACTATGAAGTGTTAACAAATAATCTGAGAATAGTTTGATAAAGGGTAATTTCTAAACATTCTAGAGGAAATCAAGCATATTTCAATCTCTTAAGATAAAAAAAAAACCTTCTAACTATGAGTATGACCACCATACTAAGCTGTGATCAATGAAAATTGATGGCTTATATGTTTGGATAGTTCAGTGGTAACGCAATGGCCTTGACAGCCAGAGGACCTGTGTTCAAAACCCAGAATATCTTTTTTCACTTATAGGCTTTTCATATAAAAGTTAATGTTAAAAATAATTTTCAGTCTGGAAATTTTTTCAGCAAACTTTAATTAGAACTAGCCATATTTATTTGCTTTCAGTGCAGAGATTTGTACTTCTTTCAGTTACATGTACTTGCCATAGGATATCTATTATATGCCAGTCACTTCCTTATATTAACCTGCATTTTAGCTTAGATACATAGATGACGTTTTTGTAGTTTTACTTGTCAGGATGGATAAACAAAGTTCCTCCAGCACATAAACAATCCACACAAAAATATACAATTCACAGTTGAAAATGAAAATAGCAACACAATAAATTTTTTAAACTTTAACATCACACAAACACCCCAAGGCTTCACCATTAAAATTCATACATAAAAAGACATATAGCAGAATTCACATAAACTGGTTTCCTAATCCTGTAATCTACCAGAAGCTAGGTCCTCAAAAAAGCCTCCTAAAGGTAGCATTCACTATATACACTGAGTGTTCACAAGTAAATAGACACCTAATTTTTCGTCATTTAACTGATTTATGCTAACT